TGGTCCTTGTGCTTATGAGGCAGCAGAACCACTGAGCTAAATCCCCCCCCCTTTAAAGTATGCCTTATTTAAAGGATTCAATAATAACCTATCTTGAGCAACCAAACTTCCCCTGAAAGGACCATAAAATTAGTTGTGGATTACCTCAATAGATGGCAGGAAAAAAATGACAAATAAATCCAATGTCTATTCGTGATATTAAAAAAACTCTGGAGAAAACAGGAATAAAACATCTTTATCTTGGACTGGGGATTTAGTTCAGTGGTTCTACCACCTGCTTCAAAGGTGCAAGGTCCTGAGTTTGATACCCAGTACCAAAAAAAAAAAAAAAAAGATCTTTATCTCAACCTGATAAAAGCTGTCCATGACAAACCAGTGGCCAATATCAAGCTAAATGGAGAGAAGCTAAAAGTTTTCCCCTCTAAAAATCAAGGATAAGGATGTCTGCTATCAAAACTTCTGTTCAAAATTCTTCTCAAAACATTAGCTGAAGCAATAGATAAGAGAAAGAAAGAAAATGGATATGGATAGGAAAGGAGGAAGTTAAATTATCATTATTTGGTGATGACATGATTCTCCACATAAAAGATCCCAAAAACTCCTAGAAGTAATATTCAAATTCAGTAGTGTAGCAGGATACAAAGTCAACATTGAAAATTCAATAGCAATCCTGTACACCAATAGCAAACTGACTGAGAGGGAAATCAGGGAAACAATACCCTTCACAATAGCATCAAGGAAAACAAAATACATAGGAATTAACCTAATCAAGGAAGTGAAAGACTTTTAGAAAGAAAATTACAGTTCTCTGAAGAAGGAAATTGAAAAGGATAACACAAAATGGAAAGATATCCCCTGCTCTTGGATAGGCAGAACCAATATATTGAAATGGTCATACTTCCAAAACTGTTATATAGATTTAATTCAATCCCAATCAAAATACCAATAATATTCCTTACAGAACCAAAAAAAAAAGTAATCCTAAAATTGACATGGAACTAGAAGAGATCTAGAATAAGAAAAGCAATTCTGGGCAAAGGAAAGAGAGAAAACAATCCCAATCTTCAACTTTTACTACTAAGCTACAGTGATAAAAACAGCATGCTATTGGCAAAAAACCCAAAAAACAAAAACAGATGAATGGATCAATGGAACAGACTAGAAGATACAGAAGCAACTTCAGGCACACTTAATTATCTTTGACAACGGAACCAAGTCCTTTTGCCGGAGGGAAGGTGACCTCTTTAACAAATGGTAATGGGAAAATTGGTTCTCTACATGCTGAATGTTGAACCTAGACCCATATCTCTCACCATGCATTAAACTAAAATCAATATGGATCAAAGATCTAAAATTAGAAGTGTTTCTGTCTAATTTTAGATCTTTGATCCATTTTGATTTTAACTTAATGAAATTCCATCTGATTCAGCTATTCCCCTTCTAGGTATCTTTCCCAAATAGTAAGACATCATACCCAGTAATATATGCATATCCATATTTATAGCAGCATAATTCATAATAGCTAAATCTCACAAACAGTCCATATGTCCATCAACAGATGAATAAAGAAAATGTGGTATTTATACACAATGGAGCACTACACTGCCATAAAGGCTAAACTGAGTCATTTGTAAAAAAATGGATGCACCTTGAAATAATTGTGAAGTAACTCAGACACACAAGCTTAATATTGTATTCTATCTCTTATATGAGAAACTTGGCATTGTAAACCAATTTGGACAATGTATCTAAAAGTGTACTTTGACTTAGTATGATTAACATGTTTTATATGTTGTCTTATTGTTCTGACTTTCAATCTGTATATATGATAATTAACTTTATACAGCCTTATACATAAATGAGCCTGATACTGGAAAAATAAAAGGGGGTTGGAGAGAGGCCAGAGGGGCTATGAGGGGGGGAATTGAAATGTGTTGTGCATACGTACCAATTTCCTACAGTGAATATAATCATTTTGTACTGCAAACATGTGCTAATAAAAATGAAAATAGAAATAAATCAGTTGTTACAAAGAAAATCATTTTTCCATGCAAATATTATAATTAGGGAGATATCACTAACCAAATGTTTGGTCTCCTAAGATTTTGGTCTCATAAGAATTGCTTAAAAAACAAAACAATACCCTTCAGTTAAAAGTGTTAACTTTTTGAAGATGCAATAAATTTTGCTACTTGAAACACTGATTAGCCATTCAGTAAAATGAGGATATACAAGGGACCTCAATAAGAAAATGTATTACAAACTGAGTTTAAAATAAAAAGGTACTTCACCAGGATAAATAACTCAAACATTCATTTAATGGTCTATGTGGGCTGTTAGCTGGTTTTCATGTGAACTGTGTTCCACCAGTTCTACTGTTCTTCAGTATGTGATTGTATTTGGAGATAGGGCTTTGAAAAAGATGAAGTTAAAATTAGGCAGAAAGGGGCTAAAGGTGTAGGGAAAGTGGGAAGGGTAGGGGACAGCTAATAAGGGAAAAGAAAAACATGAGAAAATGAAACAATGGAAATGAAGTGTTTGTAAATGGGGAGGGGAGTAGGGGATGAAGGGAGGGCAGGGACAAGGGGAAAAAATGAGAACCAAGACCTGTCATGTAAAGGTACAAGATCCCAATAATGAATGTAACTGTACTGTATACCTAAAATGTACCAATTAACTCAATGAGGAAAAAAAAAATTAGACTATCAGGGTGAGCCCTGCTCCAAATCATAATCTGTCTTATAAAAAGGAAATCTGAGGGCCGGGGATTTAGCTCAGTGTTTCGGTGGCCTGCCTTGCAAGCACAAGGACCTGAATTCAATCCCCAGTATCAAAAATAAAAATAAAAATAAATAAATAAAAAGGAAATTTGGACAAATGGAGAGATGCATGTGTTCAGAAAAAAAAGATCATAGGAAGACATAGCAAGGAGGCCATCTACAAAACCACCTCAGAAGAAACTAACCCTTCTGACATCTTGATCTCACATTTCTGGCCTTCAGAACAGTGAGAAAACAAATTTCTATTGCTGAAGATCATCCAGCCGGTCATACTTTATTATGGCAGACTTAGCAAACTAATACAGATGGTCTAAATCTCACAGCTGTATTCAGAATACTGCGATGGAATCAACAAAGGTTCACTGGTGAGGTCCTACACCTACTTCCATGTCAGTCGTCCTGAATTAGTTTTGGAAGCATCAAAGGTATATTCTAAAAGAGGCCAACTTTTCCCTGGCATTTTAAAACAAGCTGTGTGTATTTATGTGTGTGTGTGATGGGGAACAGATGTGAAGAACAAAGGTTTTTTAAAAAATATGAAACATTTTAAACATCCCAGAAATAAAAAATAGTACAATGAATTTCCATACCTATCAGCCATCTGACAAGTACTGATTTGTTTCATTTCTTTCCACACTCCCTCCTTCCTTAGCTATTTTAAATGCCTGTTTTAAATAAGTTGTTATTTTCACTGCATAGTATTATGGAATTTATGTATATTGGAATGCCACTAACGCCAATTCATAGTGATTAATACAAAGACATTAACTATGAGAAAGAAAATTAAAACTCTTGACCAAACTGATTTTATGACTTATTCAAGTTATCAGTGTAAAACACAATTTTATTCCTGGGAAGCTGAAAGCCAAGTACTATTCTATGTTGTTTCTCCACATTGACAGTTTCCAAATCCATTTTGCATTTTTTCATTAATATGATGCATACACCATTCTTTTTAAAGTTCAGGATTAAGTACATTCAGAATTATTCAAGCACCATCTAATTTTAAAATGTTTTTGCTGCATCCAAAAGCAACCTATTACCTGTTAGTGTCACTGCCCCCTCACCCATCCCTCTCATTCCCTGAAATCACTGATCTTCTAGCTCTAGACTTGTCTACCCTGGACATTTCATTAAATTGAATCGCACATGGCTGTGTAGGTCTTGCTTCTTTCACTTAGCCTAATGTTCTCTAGGTTTACCCATGTTGTTAAATGTATAAATGTTTGTTTTTTGGTACCAGGTATCAAACTAGGGACCTTGTGCTTGCGAGGCAGGGAGCAGAACCGCTAAGCTAAATCCCCAGCCCACGGGATCATATAGTTTTAACTAGGTTTAATTTTTGAGGACCGGCCAAGTTTATCAAAGTGACTGCTCCACTTCATAGCAACGTATGAGGGTTCTGATTTATCCAGATCTGGCCAACAATTGTCTTTATTATAGCACTTTTGTGTAATTCATCTGCAAAACATTTTTCATTTTCTCGTGTTGAAACGCCACACCCATTAAATGCTAACTGCCCACTTCCACTCCCCCAGGTCCTACGAGCCACCTTTTCATTTTGTCTCTGACTACTCTTAGTAATCTCATACAAGTGAAATCATATAGTAGATCTGTCTATGACTTTACTTCTATAATGTTCTTAAGGTTCGTCCAAATATATAGTTTCTTGTCTCAGAATTTTTTTTTTAGGCTAATATTCCACTGTATCTGTAAACCACATTTTATCCGTTCATCCATCCATCAAGGGACACTTGGGTTGCCTCTACCATTGGCTTTTTGTTCGAGACAGTCTCACTGTGCAGCCCAGGATGGTCTTAGCTTCCCAAGTGCTGGGACTATACGTGTACCAGCTTTCACATTTTGACTATTGTAAAGACAGATGCTCCGGACTTATAATGTTATATCCTGGTGAACCCAGCATAATTTGAAATACTGTACATGAAAAATGTAATGAATATATCCAACCTACTGAACATCAGTTTAAAACATAATAGCAAACAGAATAGTCCCTGGGCCAGGGATTTAGCTTAATGGCACCGTGTCTGCCTTGAAAGCTCATGGTCCAGAGTTCAACCCCTGGTACCAAAAAAAATAGAATAGTCCCTAACCCACTGATTTTAAGGTAAAAAGATTAGCCTAGGTTATCCATTGGGCCTCGTATAATCAAAAGGATTTTTTTTTTTTTAACAGGAAAGAGGTTTAATTACAGGTTTTGTGTTTTTTTTTGCAGTACCAAGAATTAAATTTAGGACCCTGCATTTGTGAGGGAGGTGATTGCACCAGAGCTAAATCTCTGGCCCCCAAGAGGTTTAATTAGAGAAAATGGTAAGACTAGCTCAAGTTGCTGACAAAGATCAAACCAGCCCTTAACAAAGAAGAGTAAGAAAATTAGGAGACAGAAAATTGAGGCTTGGGCTTGAGAAGCCAACAAGTTCAGGCCAGCCCTTAATAAAGCAAAGTAATGAGAATAGCAAAGGGCTCCAGATTGACTAGAGGGGGCACACTGCAGATCAGCCTGGCCCCACAAGGTTTTCTAACCTGGAAAATGTGGGCAACAATGTCAGTGATGAATCATGAGAAATTTTTAAATTTGGAGCCCAGAGCCACAGAACTAAGGCAACCTTCAGAATCTTGGAAAAAGGAGGAAACACTCTCTGCCAGAGCCTCACTTTGGATTTAGCCTAATGAAACCCATTTTGGACTTCGGACCTACAAAACTGTAGGATAAATTTATGTTGTCGTAAGCCAACAGGTCTATGGTAACTTGTTCTCACAGCTAGTACTGTGACACAGCTAGTACAGACAGGGCAAGGTTTTTAAAATTAGATATTATGTTCTCCGTTCACAAATATAAACCTAGAAAGTGATATGTTAAATGCCTTTAATTCCATGCATTGTTGTAAGATTGATTTAACTTCTAACTTTTCAAAGGTCAACAATCATCAAAATGGAAAAACAAGACAGAAAAATGGAATTCTCAACTCATTTGAACAAAAAATACAGCAGCATCTTAGGTAAAAATTTAAAATTATATGTGGATTTTTTAAAAGAAAAAGAATCTATACTGAAATGTTAACTGGCAGTAATTCCACATGGAATGCTGAAATTTTTATTTATGCTTTTAGTATATTTCCTAAATGTTTCAAAATGGATATCATGTTTTAAATAAGGAAAAAAAAAAGTGATAGTCTAAAACTGATAAATCAAAAAATACCGTATAAGGGACCAGGGATTTAGCTCAGTGGTTCCACCGCCTGCCTTGCAAGTGCAAGGACCAGAGTTCAATCCCCACTCCCCGAAAAAAAGAAATACTGTATACACATACTATTTAAACATGGAAGTGCCAGAAGTTAAAAGTGATTCATTCAGGGAAACTGCAGTAAGAGGGAAAAAACTGGAAGAAATGGGTGTGCTGGCTCATGCCTGCAATGCTAGCACTCAGAAGGCTGAGGCAGGTATTGCTAAACAAAAAGAGGAAGAGAAGGAATGTGTGAGGGAAGCAGGTGATTGCTTTCTAAAATCTTTCATACAATGAATCCTTAAAAGCAGACATACGTTTTATTCAATTATTTTAACTTTTTTTAAAAAAAGAATTAAAGAGTGTGGGCCAGAGAAACCTGTTAGCTGTGATTACTAGTTCAAATACTCATTACATCACATGCATTCTCACTCCAGATTCTATTTAAGTAACAAAAATGCAAATGGTTTACAGAAATAATGTCCTACCTACATTGAGGGTATATTTAAATTAAAAAAAGAAATACACAAACAGGAGCAAATTTATTTACAAGTTATAATAATTACAAATAGTACAAACTAAGATAGGTTCTTCTGTTCCTGCAACAGAAGCCAAAAGACTTCACTTTCAAATGAGTTTTTATTCTGAAATATGACAAATATTCAGTAATTCACTGCCCTGTTTTAAAAAATAATTCCTGGAAGCCCATTAATGATATATGCAAGGGTTGTGTCCCTCAAATCTTATTTTTCAGAGCTGTGCAAATGCATCACAACAGGAACAGAACAGGGCAGAAAGTACTGAACTACTGAATAAATTTTGACTAATCCCCAAACATTTGCCTGGAGGATTAAAACTAAAACCACGATTTGGGGCTTTACAAAGTAAATCCACTTTGATTTTTAATGGGCAGCACAATTACATCACAGCCAGTATTTATGTGGCTACTCCATCAGTATGCCTTTGCAGTTTACTCCTTGCTACTGTATAAGAAATAGAATTCTATGGTCTTCAGTTCTGTAGGCTGTCGCACATATTTTATTTTTTTGTGTTTTTTTGGTACCGGGGATTGAACTCGGGACCTTGCACTTGTGAGGCAGGCGGTAGCACACACTACTGAGCTAAATTCCTAGCCCTCACATGTTTAATCAGAATCACTACTACTGCTTGAGGAGTCTGTTGACATAACCTCTACATCATCTTCATTTTCTTTATTATGCCCAGGAGGTTCCAACAAAAAGTCATTACTGTGGTTTGGTGGTAACATATTCACTGACATATCATTTGACTGCCATGGATACTGTGGAGCAAGGACATCTGGAGAAAAGAAAGAAGCATATCAGAGAATAGTTTTCTAAGTAATCTACTTAATTATTCTTTCCTTTTTATAAATAATTTTAACTAAAAAAAATTTTTTGTGGTCCTGGGGATCAAATCCAGGATTTCATACATGTGAAGCATGCACTTTATCACTGGGATACATCTGCAGCCCTTGAAGTAAGTTTTTTTAAGGTTACAAATAAAAATATTTATTTGGCCAAATTAAGGAAGGTCAAAATAAGAAAAGGTCAAGGAATGAAACGTATATTTTAGCAAATAGGAAGTTATTTTATACATATAAAAAACCACACTACCCTAAGAAACTATAGTCTCAATAAGTTTGCTTTTGTAAGGTACATATAAGCTACCATACATGATAAGACAAGTTGACTAGTAATGTATGATAAAAAGTATCATATAAAAAAATTCCAGACCAAGAGAAGGCAGATTTCTAAAGTTATATGAGGGTAGAGGGGGTGAAGGGAGGGCAGGGGTAAGGGGAAAAAATGAGAACCAAGATCTGTCATGTAAAGGTACAAAATCCCAATGATGAATGTAACTGTACTGTAAACCTAAAATGTACCAATAAACAATGAGAAAAATAAATAAATATTTGGATTGAAAAAGCAAAAAAAAAAAGAGTTATATGGTATTATCTAGATAGATGTGCCAGTTGGTTCATATCTATCCTTCTTCCTGGATCTGGAAACCATGTCTCGTCCACCAGCTTCCACAATGTCAAGCTTTTAACAGCAGAAGGCACTGATGGGAGCCTGCAGTAGGATGGTCCTCATTTCTTAGCTCAGGTGTTTTTTATAGTCACTCCTGAAGGGCTAATTGGTATTCAAATCATCAAGTGGGCTCTTCTCTCAGAAACATCTGTAGCATCCCTGAGGATGGGTTCCTAGTCAGTTTCATTATAATCCCAAAAGGTGGCTGTCCAGTAAATCTCCCTAGAATCCCAGTGCATAATTTCCTGCTTGTCGGCACTGGCCTCTGATACCTCATCTTCTCTGACATGGGAGTTGCCATGGCTACCCCCATTCCAGGTTTGGGAGTGGAAAGGATCCCTTTCTAGTCTGTCCTCACCTTGGGTCCCTTGCCCTTGCCTAAGTGTAGTAGCAGCTCTCCATATCCATTACTACTGTACTTTAAAAAAAAAAGTTTTTGCCCCTTAGTAAGTATACTGTTACCAGTTAATAATTATTTCAATTTTCCTGTTCAAATGACTGGTATGGTGTGTCTATTGATTAGATTGAAAATGGCATAGAATTCAGTATAATCACAATGAAAATGATGAAAAATATCAAAGGAAATTAACGTATATGCACACTGAGACCCCCAGTATCTACTTTAGGTAGCTAAGAGAAATGATATGTACAAAGTATTTTTAAATAACACAAGGCTATGCTTAACATGTAATGTCAAGCAAAATATAGACCATATTTTAACAATGTAAAAGTACAGGAATAAAAAGAAAATAAGCTACAATATTTAAAGTTACTACTTCAGAATGTAATTTTTTTTCCTTTTATGTATCTTACAAATGTTCCAATGTCCTATCATAACAAATTACCTACAAAATGTTAATTATTTATATAGCATGCTTCACAATTGCAAAAATGTGGGGTTTAAAGCAGGAAAAAAAAGCATGGGACAAGCCCAATGCCTGAGGAATATGGTGGAATATTAATAAGGAAGATAAAAAGCAGTTTTATCTAATTTCATAACCTTCATTCGGAATTCTTTAAAGGGAGTAACCAGAAAGCAGGATATACTAACTAGCAGAGAACCTAGCTATTAAGATAAGTTGGCTCTGGAATTTCAAATATTTAATTCCCAAAAGCTCATCACTGTCATCTAAATCTTAGTTTGCTTGGAAACATTCTTCTCATCATTACCTGGTAGTCTACCAGCTGCAAGGGCATCCCCTGGTAAATGACCATTCACACCATTTGTGGAAGGATTATTCATCTGACCCAGCAATCCACTTCTCATCTCTAAATCAGTTGGGTACGGTCTTCGTGGGTCTCCTAAACCATAAAGACTGCTTTTAGGTCAATCATATTTAACAACAAAAAGCATCAATGTTCTTCGAAGTACTGATTTTCTTTGGTGCACACTGAAAAACTCAAGCTACATTTTAAATTTTGGAATATGAAACTCATCACTTGTTTTTAACTGTATAATGTATTAATTTTAAAAATACATGTACTTTTATTCTCAATCATCCCAAGAATACAGCATAAAACAAAAAGTTATTTTGCAAACATTTCAAATGACAATTTTAGAAAATTATGATTTCAATTCTTCTAACTGAATTCCATTTTTAATTTATATTTATTTTATTTTATTTTTTGGTACCAGGAATCAAACTCGGGACCTTGCACTTGTGAGGCAGGCAGCAGCACCACTGAGCTAAATCCCCTGCGCTTAATTCCATTTTTTTAGTAAGAAAAATAACAATGATCAGGACACTTATAAGATATAAAGGAATGGAATGTTTACTGAAAGTTATCTAAATTAAAACCTTTTCTAACCAACCTTTTTGTTCTTGTCAAAAGATTAATTCCTGTAATTTTCTAGTGGCTATCAGGAGTGGGCATTCTCATTCCCATCACGAAAACAAACTAAACAGCAGCTTGGCGCTGAAAAAACATGGCCAGGTTTGGACCAACTTTACAGTAACGTTTCTCACCAACTCCAGATTACTCACCTCTAAACCTGTAGTTCTCTCCTTAGTACTTTTAGCGATAGTATTATCGATAGTAAAATCCACCATCAGGAGTGATGGAGCTGAGATAATTCTCACTCCTCCCAATAGGCTACTGTTCCACATTAGGTTTCCTGCCTTTTATTTTATTCACTGTGAATGCAGTTAGAAGATTGTTTCTCTCTTTGCTATTATTTCTAATCCTCCCAGCTCTTCCTGGGCCTGTGTGTTTGCTGTTGGGTGCCAAGCACTTTGTCTAAATGTCGCATCTAAAGCACTGGGACTGTGTGCTTCTCAGGTTCCACCATTTGTGGAAAGCCTAATGGCCCTAAGAGTTGGCTTCTGGCCAATTTTTTTTTTTTTTAAAGGAAAGAAACAATAGTCCCTAGTGCCACTGACTTTGTAGCAAACCAAATTTATAAAAACCATGGCATATATCATCACTCATAAGACATTAAAGATGTAAAAGTATTTTTATTAGTAGATGAGATGTTTCTAAAATATATATTCTATATTTGAATCTTTTGTATATAGAAACCTAAGAATTTTAAAGCTACATATAAAAGAGGGGCTGGGGATTTTGCTCAGTGGTGCCTTTGCTTGACTCACAAGCAAAAGGTCCTAAGTTCGATCCCTGGCGCACATAACACACACACACACACACAAAACTCTCTATATAAAAATGTACTTTTACCTGGAACCCAGGTCAGTGGTGCGCACACAGCATTACTTGCACTAATCCTATGTGCATACTTAATTATTTCTTCAGATGAGATAGCACCTGAGAGAGTTAAAAACAGTTTAAGTTTAGTCTAATAAACATACAAGTTTAGAAGGCATGCATCGTCACACAGTATACTTAATTTTATTTGCTTTCTTTTCCTTTGATACAGGGTTTCTCTATGCAACTCAGGCTGGCCTTAAACCAGAGATCCTCTTGTCTCAATCTCCAGAGTGCTGGGATTACAGGACTGAACCACTACACATAGCTAATTTTAAATTACCTGAAAATAGGATAATTTCAGCCACTTACCTTCCCCAACAATACCTCCATATATATTGTAAACCTAAACTGTATGTATTTCCAAACTGAAGATGACACTCATTCAACAAAATCAGACGAAATAAAGAAACATTATTTAGGAAGCTAGTATACTGCTCAAAACTCTCACTCAATAACTACCATTAAATACTATTACTCTTCAGAAGCAATAGTAAGTAAAACAAAGAAAACAATGTTTTATTTACCAGTGGCATCCAAGTTATGAAATCAGCAGTCTACACTATTCTGTGTGATTAACATGGCCTAGGATCTCAACAGAGCTCAAGATGCATACAATGTATTCATTAGGTTAAAAAAAAAGCTGTTGAATATGCATAGTGTGACTAATTTTTTGCTTTAAAATATACGTACAGGGCCAGGGATTTAGTTCAGTGGTGCCCTTGCCTGCCTCGCAGGCGCTAAGTCCTGAATTCGATTCCCGGTACCAAAAAAATAAAATATATGTACATATGGGTATTTTTATTTTTATTATATACATATTCTCAAATCCAGAAAAAAATAAAAGAACATACAAACATTGGTAGTAGTTACCTCCAAGGAGCGAGAACAGATTTTTTTTTAATGATTGATTTTTCTTTAGATTTGTCTCAATGTAACAAAATACTGTGTATAAAGAGCATAAAGTATTTGAGGGTTAGTAACAAAACAAAAACAGTTTTAGATTTCAAATAGCTGCCTTAGTCATCTCTCCTAGAGACCCATTTACTGCTACAGAAGCCAAGTTCATCTCTCAGAGGATATTAGCTATTTTTCATATTTAACAATCAAAAAGTAGGTTCCCAAAGAAACAGGAAAGAGAAAAGAAAATGAAAGAATTTAAGATAATAACTAAAAGTAATTCAAATCTACAAGTCACTTTTTAATTACAATTCCATTTTTAGTATGCAAAATGAAAGACCCAATAAGATTATAACGTAAGCCTTTTAACAAGAAGAGCAGGACAGGAAGGCATGCTGGGTCTCTGAGCCTCTCAATGTGCTCAATATCCCAAAGTATTTCTAGTACTGATTTTATGATGTTCTTATCCCAGTTTAGTTGTCCAAGGGACATTCTCTTTCATTCTATCCTACCTTCCAGATCCAATTCAAATCCCATTTATTTTTCTTTCTGCCAATAACTTTTATAAACCAATCTCTGTATACTCAAGTACACAGACAAAATTGGTTTCTATTATTGCTTCTTATAACCTGAAAAAGGATGTGATACTTCTACTTCTCTAGGGATGCCTACTACAACACTAGAACAGGACACATTCACAATGAAAATTTATTGAACTCTTTTCAAAAGCAGAAAAAGATTACCAGTAATATTCTTATGAGCCTCTTGAAATAAGAACTTAGGTTTTTCAGAAGGCCATTCAGTTTTTCCATGGTACTAACCTTTTCTTGCTTTTTCTATTGACTTGAGTTTCTCTTTTGCTTGGTAGACAGCTGTTGCCTAATTTAAACAACATAAAAAAAAAAAATATATATATTTTATATATAAAATTTATTGTTACACATATCAAGCATAGCTTTTGGCTTAATTAACACTTATCCACAAAAACAACTTACAAAACTTGGAAATCTCCCAGTTTATCTTTAATGATCTGAAATACTACTCGATATCATTTGTATCAGTTATATTTAATGAAAGAAATATTATATTCATGCACCAGTATCCCACTCTCAAATAGTTGTTTAGAAACTATAAATTCATTCACTAATTTTTTATGTTGCATATCATTAAATATGCAAAAGAGATCCAGACCATTTATCACCTAAAAGCATCCTATTTCTGTATCTAGTTCAAGGATAAAGTACCCAAAATAATGTTTCTCTAGTAAAAGAAACATTCTTGGGCCAGGGATTTAGATCAGTGGTGCTGTCGCCTGCCTTGCAAGACCAAGGTACCTAGTTCAATCCCTGGTACAGATGAAAAAAAAAACAGGAAGAAACACTCTTGAATAGTTAATATGAAGTCAGAGAGATCTAGGTTTAATTTCCATCTCTCTATTTTGTAGCTTCCATTAAGAAATTTAGCTATACGGGCCGGGGATTTAGCTCAGCGGTTCGGTGGCCTGCCTTGCAAGCGCAAGGACCCGAGTTTCTTTTTTAAAGTCTTTTTTTTTTTTTTTTTTTTTTTTTTTTTTTTTTTTTTTTTGTGGTATTGGGAATTGAACTCGGGCCCTTGTGCTTGCGAGGTAGGCAGCAGAACCACTGAGCCAAACCCCTAGCCCCATGTCTTGGTTTCTTCACATTACTAATGGCATTGACTTTATGCATTGAAATAATGCATACAAAGCTAGTATCTAATAAAAAAATTTCCTTCTAATGGTCCTTATGTTCACTCTTTTGGAAATCTGAAGAATACAATCCAAAACAGAGAAGAAAAAATTTTTATCTGCAAAAATATTTATCCAAACATTATTTATACAAACTTGGAAGAAGACATAATTATATAAAAAATGTTTTTAAAATAAGAATTAAAAGGCTATTTGTATTCTTCTAGATTACAATAAGGTTAAAAAAATACACTTTCCTAAGGCTTAAAAAACAAAAAGACCAAACTGTTAAATACTGGCATTGTATGAGCAATAGGAACTAAAGGCAATTTTTCCTTCTCTACTTTTCTGTATTTTCTGAATTTCCTTTTGATAGGCAAATATTACTTTCATAAGGGAAAACATTTTAATATACATATAGTTTTTGGAAAGCATTTACTTAGAATTATTTCCTCAGTAAGAGTTGCTAAATTATCTTGAATCATTAGCCTCCTATGTATTACAACCCATTCTGGCATAATCTGAAGAGGTTCATCAGAGATAAGATGCCAGAAATGTCAGTTCATAAGAAAATCAAACTCAGCTGTTTCTGTCTCTAAGATCACCTGACAGTATTTAGTAAAATAACTAGGCCAATAATGGCTAATAAACTGCCTCTGAAATAGTAACTGTGAGCAAAGAAAAACTAGATTTCCCTAACGTGTATCTTAATCCCATCTGGTTTAAGATGGAAGACCAAATAAATTAATATAAATTTTAATCAATTTATGAAATTAGTACATTTTTTATGATTTCAAAGTATTTTAAAACCTAAAGATTTAGACCACTAAAAATTAAAACCTGTGTTACATCAAGATGAAAGCAAAACTTCCCATTTCTAAAATTTAACATTGTGAAATCACTGAATATAAAAATGTAGTTTAAAAGTAACAGACTATCTGAAAATAAAATGTAAAAAAGCAATGGCCTTTCATTTAACTACTGAAAATGTCCCAAGAGGAAAAGGAAAGTAAAAAGAATTAGGTGAATTATGTACACACGTTATCTTCATATAAAGGCAGGGCATTATCTACACGATGAATATAATCATTATCTACTGCATACTAATAAAAATTAAAATTTTTAAAAAACACCTGACAGAATGTCACTTTTAGACATGGAAAGTCAAATTTTCTGCTCCTCAAAACAGTGATAAAAGGTTTATTTTTCAGAAACAGTTTAAATGCTATCCTTCTTCCCCTTAGGAAGCAATCATCAACTTACCAGTATTTGTTCTGCTTCCTTTAGCTGTTTCTGTAGTTGCTGAATATCACTGTCTCTCTTCTCTACTTCTTTTTCTAAAACTTGCATTTCATGATGGATTTTTCCCTGATTAAGTGCCAATTTCATTAATTCCTGAAATTCCCCATCTCTGTGAATTAACAACTCAAGGACCTGTCAGATAACAGTTGACTAAGTAAGAAAACAGAATATTGAAAGACCACATTCCAACAAGACAAAAGAATTCATACATAAATTATCTAGGTTATAATATTTTAACACCTCCAAAATATTATTCCTAATCTTTGTTAGTAAAGCTGCCAATCATGGTGGTAAACACCTGTAATCCTAGAACAGAGGCAGGTAGATTGCAGGTAGATTTCCCAGCCTGAGAAATTTAACAAGACCCTAACAATTCTCTACTCAGTTTATCAGATTTCTATACTCTCAAAATATGCCCTAAGAGAAAACTAATATAATGATGAGGTAGACAACAGGGAGGTCTACTACATATTGTCTTCTTATTTATTTTTTATTAAAAAGGTTTACCTTCCTAGTTCATTCTCTGTGTCCCCCCACACCCCCACTATCTAGCTCAGGGTGGTCTTGAATTTACTATATAGCCAGGCTGGCCTCAAATTCACAATGATCTTCCTGCCTCAACTTCCTGAGTGCTGGGATCACACATGTGCACCACCATGACTGGTTCATTTTCTTTTCAAAAATTATGGTCAAAGCATTTAATATAAAATTTATCATTTAAATATCCAAAAATTTTCCGAGTCAGGGAAAAAAAACCTGTTCACAGCAGAAAATTAAACAGAAGAGGAAAGTATACGGAAAATAAAAAATACCTGTAAATCTGACACCCATAAAGAGAACATCTATTAACAGTGCTCTTTTATTTCCATTTATTTTCAAGTTGAACTAGGGAAACCAAACCTACAGTAAAGAGCTACATTTATAAGAATATTAACTTTTCCACCGCCTGCCTACAAGCACAAGGAACCAAGTTTGATCCCTGGTACTAAAAATAAAAAAAGAATATTAACTTTTGATTCACTGTTTTAATCTTTATTTACCAAGACTTTGTTGGTTCATTGAAAAACAAAAATGAATAAATGTGTAGCTATAACTGTGAGAAATAATAAAATACTGCTAAACGCTTAGAAAACTATTTCCTGAAGCACATTATTATGCTATGTAAGTGATACAGAAAAATTATCAGGTTTACTTTTAGGTAATACCTTTCTGTTCTCATACAAAGTAAATATAAAGCAGGAATCTTGCAGAAATTATCAGGGTTTTTGTTATATAGTACTGAGGATTAAATTCTAGAGTTTTCAAATTGAGCTATACCCAGCCCTTTTTCTATCTTCAGACAGGATCATGCTAAGTTGCCCAGGATGGGCTCCAAATTGTGATCCTTCTACCACAGACTCAGAGTCCTGGGACTCCTAGTACTGTAATGTGCCACCAGCCCTGGCTAGGTTTTGGTTGTTATTTTAATAAAGAACCAAACTACTTACCTGGTTTTCCTCTCCAGTCTGTGACAACTTTTGGTTTCTTGAAATTGCCAGCATTTCTATAAGTTCCCTGAAAGAAAAACAAACCAAGAAAACCTTTTACAAAATAAATATAATAGAAAATTTCTTTGCTACTCAGTCCATTTGTGGTACTTACAACATGCTGGCTGCTCATGACTACTGCTCTACATTCCTTTCTCTGTACCTCAGCTCTCCCAGTCATGCTGCACTCTCACTAAGACTTACTTGTGCCCATCACTGAAATTATTTATACTGAGTTTTACTATTACCATCACTGTATAAATACCCACTGCATAAATGCTGATGAAATATGACTAGGAACAGAAAGAGTTCTTTCTACAAAATCCTCAGTTTAATGCATGAACACACTCACGCAAGGTTTGAAAAGGCAACTGTAAAGAACCAAGAAAAAGTCTGAAAAATACAGAACGCACTAAGACTACCTGATGAGAGTGTAAGTTCTCATTTCACTTCAAAGAAACCTAGGACAATGGACTATGAGTGATTTATACAAGGAAAACTCCTGCATCACAGTCTGTAGGCCAAATCCAGCACATCTGCAGTTTTGTAAATTGAGGGCTGCTTTTCCTTTACAAGCGTAGAGCTGGGTAGTCACAGCAAAAACCACATGGCCTAAAAAGACAGAAATATTTACTCTTTGACCCTTCACAGAAAAGCTCCTTCATTAATGGGAAGATTGGCAAATGAATATACATTTCAAAGTAAAGCAAAACAACTAAGGAAAGCATGATTCATTTTTAATGATTTAATCATTTTGCACTATTAGCTTAACATCTACCAGCTAACATGGATTCTCTATTTGTTTTTGTTTTTTTTTTTTTTTGGTACTGGTGATCAAACTTGAGACCTTGTGCTTGCAAGGCAGCCGGCGGAACCACTGAGCTAAATTCCTGGCCTTAACATGGACTCTTTACATAATAAAATTCCATTTTCCTAGAATACTCAATAGATACGTGGTTTTCCTGCATGAAAATTAGTATCAGATTAGGATAATCTGATAAAGAAATAGGATCAGGGAAAAAAATAGCAGGCAATACTTACCTATCACTTTCAAACTTATTGCTAGATGGTACATTTCAAAAATTATCAGAGAGGAAAGCTTCACAACTACATACCTGACATTGGTCTAGTTAGACCCAGTGTTTGTACCTTCTCGCTGGCTGCCAAGTTACTTTTACTTCTGTATTTCTACCTTCCTTCCTACTAGCTGAACATCATTTTTCTGCAAAGTGTCAACTGGACTGAACCCTGGCTATTACCATACCGCTATGTATGTAAGAATAATTAACTAATAAAAAAAGAGATATGGGGATGCAAGGTCTTCATTTATTCACGCATCAAATATTTACTGAGTTAGCTCTCAGGTGCCAGGCACTTTCTAGATACTTTCTAGAGTTTGAAGAACTGTAGTCAGAGCACATCAGGCACCAAGAGGGATACAAAGTGAGACAAAGGTAGTTAGGTAAATATGGCCTTCTTGTCACAGTAAAAAATTAGTGTTTCATTCTAAGTGCAATAACAAGTTATAGATCATTTTAAACAAGGAAATGACATGAACTGACTTACATTTTTAACAACCACTGAGCTATTTGGTGAACTGGCTGTAAGAGGACCAGAATAGGTAACAAGTTAGGTGCTTCTTGTATTCCAGGCAAAAGATGACAGGGCCTCTAGGATTCAGTAATGGAAATGGGAAGACTTGAACAGATGCAGGATATAATTTGGAGGTAGAAATGAATGAACTTGCTGATGAATTAAACTGACATTGCATGAAAAGAGCATGTCATCTGACTCTTTTTCTATGTCTAGGGACATGGACAAGAACCTCTGGCCTAAGTACAAGCTGGTTTCAGGGTAGGGAAGGGGAGATAGTGACAGGACATGGGGGTGAATTGAGTCTCTTTTTGTAGCTAAGTGCTAGTAATTTTATTAATTCTCTAGTTCCACAGATAATTCATTTTACTCCCCTTTAGGAGAAATATTTTCAGCCATTGCATAATGAAAACAAAGTCTGAAAATGTTTTTCTCCTCTGTGCAGTTCTCTTATGTTCTAGGTAAGAGTAAAAGATGTTGGCATCAGAAAGTATCTATCTGAATGCACATCTCCTGACTCAGCACGGCGGGGTGGGGGTGGGGTGGGGGTTTGATGTATGAACACAAGGTTGTGGTATTTAGGACGAAGTTATGGTTTGCTCTTTAAAGAAGGAAAACTGTAGATAACAATAATAATTTGTACGTATCAAAAGCCAGAAGAAAGGATATTAAATGTTTCCATCATCAAGACGTGAGAAATGTGTAAGGAGGTGGATAAGATTAACCTGATTTAAATATAACACAAAGCCGGATGTGGCAGTGCATGTCTATAATCCCAGTACTCACAAGGCTGAGGCAGGATCTCTAATTCAAGTCCAGCCTGCTTTACATAAGGAGATTCTGTTTCAAAGAAGTAAAAACCAAAACACACAAAGTACACAATCTACACACTTATCAAAAGGTGATAGTTTTTGATTGAATATGAATTTTTATGCTTCAATAAACAATAAATTAAAATTTATTGTAGCCGGGGATTTAGCTCAATGGTTCCGCTGCCTCGCAAGTGCAAGGACCTGAGTTCGATCCCCAGTACCCCCCCAAAAAAAAAGTATTGTAAAGAGAATGAATAACTGTTCTTATCAATTGGGTATTTCTACTTCAAAGAAACTCTAAGCTATCTGCATAGTTTACAGTTTTCTGGTGTATTTGGTATGCTGTAATATAGATGATACGACTCTGTTTTCCTCCGATCTATGTGATTTTGATATAGTCCTAGGTTTAGATTTTCAATTTAAATGTAGAAGCTATTACTATGTATTTTGTAGCACTGTCTTAAAATGATACACGAGAAAGCCATAGCACATGGTGTATTTTCCGTAAAAATTAATCTTTTCTCTTTTGCCTCATGGGGAATTTTTCTCATTCTACTGCCAGAAATAGAGATTTATGATTTACTATCAATATAAAAAATGAACATTTGTTACTTTAAAATATATAGCATCTTATTAAAGCATTAGCCAGAAAAATGTGTATTTAAATGGTGGTTAGCAGAGCACTGTGGGTGTGGGTCAAATGAGGGCAATCTCATAATCTGGGGTGCTAGTTGCTTGTAAATTTAAATAGTGATACAATTTATGTTTGTAGACCTCGCAAAATTATTCTGGAAAGTAATTTGTTCTACAACTAAAAATATTTATATATTAAAAGAAAAAAGAGATTCAGGCAGCTCTGTAACAGTCTCTAGACAAAGAAGATACCTGTCTTTCTGAACTGAGAGAAGAGGCTAAAGAAACTCCAGGCCCACTCTGATTACAGGTGTGAAAATAAAAAGCCCCATAGGAAAATGGATACATATTGAAGATATACTCCTAAATGAAATAAATAAGTCACACATGTAAATACCGAATAGTTTCCCTGGTGTGAATAATCTGCAATAATACATAAGATCCTAATAAGATTACTGACATTTAGAAATGGGAAGAAAGGAGCTAAAGGTGTAGAGAAGGTGGGATGGGTAGGGGAAGGGTAATAAGGGAAAAGAAAAAAATGTGAGAGAATGAAAAGATGGAAATAAAGTGTTTGTATCCCTAAAATGTAACAATAAACTCAATTAAAGCTGAAAAAAAAAAAGAAAAAGCCCTACTCTGCCACAGGAGGTATATACTTGGTATTCTCAATTAGAATCCAGCCACACGTCCCCAGAGAACTGTAACTTTCGTACATACTAGAACCTATACTACTGGTGGCACTACACTTCAGGTAAATTATAGGTAAAGAGAATAAATGGCTGGTTTGGAAACCTTGGGATTCTTATCAACGTGGTTTCTGCAAGACAATGAGTTATAAACAGATTTAAAACTCAAAGTCTAAATGCCAGCACTTGGGAGGCTGATGCAAGAAAACTACAAATTCAAGAACTCGAGCCACACAGAAAACTTGCTAAAAAAAAAAAAAAAGGAAGTCTACAATCTATGTCTCTATTTTTTTTAATTCCTCGAAAGACTACCTCATTCTATTTCATTTTACAAAGTACTAAAAATAGTGAAAGGCTGTATATATATACAAACAGGTAACATAAAAATATATAAGGTACATTAGTGACCTTTTCTTTTTTTTTCCCCCAGCACGTGAATTTGATCTGTATATTTAAATGAATACATAATGGAAACTGCTGAAAGTCAAACACGTGGAGCAGTTTCATTTTGTAGAGACTCTTAGGTGGCAAATCATGTATCTCTTCTACTACTACCACTAACCATCGTCAGGATCATGGGAGTTAAATTTTCACTTACTTACTATTAGTCTTTATGGACAAATAAAATAACATAGCAGATAAGTCATACGAAAATTAAAGGAAAAAAAAAAAAAGAAAAACCACCAAGACAATGGTTTTTTAATAAAGAATACAAAGTGCCTCAATTAAGAAGACTATTACCAATCTGTCAATATATAGCAACTATAAATAAGTGATAAATCAGTCTTTTTGTTACTCTTGGAGAAAGGACAACATAATTGCAGCTTCTTTCACAGAACACAAAAGAGAAATGGGCACCTCAGCTGATTATGTACAACTAGAGAGCCCCAAATAGACAGTTTCAGAAACAGTTTCTGAGGAATATTTAGATGATGATTTACTACTTCCATGGGCAAATACATCTCATCAAGCAGGACATACTATACTCAGTAAAGAGGGGGAAAAAATAAAATACAGAGCTATAAATTGGTCAAATCTAGACATGAGAATTTCAATATAGCCTAAAATTTAACATAACTGATGAGTTACTTAATAATTGTGTCATCTCAAACACGTGAAGAGTATATTCAATCCTCCAGGTACCAAAAGCATCAGAAAACACTCCAGATACAAAGCCCAGTAGTCAATTAATCAAAGGCAATATCTCAAATTGACCAGTGAGTTGTCAAAAGTCAAAAGATTCTCAAAATCTTTGTCCTGGATAAAGTGGCTCATAAAAATAGCTCCTAAACTTGAATATAAGATAAGTATTAAGAGTTATCCAGCAAAACAAAGATAAATTATGGCACAGCATGTCAAATTCAGAAAAGAATTTACTGGATTCTAGTAGAAGACTGAGCCTGTTGTGATGATACATACTTGTAATTCTCTAGGAGGTTGAGGCAGGAAAAGCACAAGTTTCAGCCTATCCTGGGCAACTCAGTCACTTAGTGAAACTCTGTCTTTAAAAAAAATTTTTGACTGAAAGTGAAAAGATAGAAAACAATTCTCCATGTGACAGGAGCCCAGAGAAAAACATGGATAGCAATCTTATTTGCAGACAAAGTAAATTTCAAACCAAAACTGATTCTAGTATTATTGATGTAGGATGGTACTGTATCATACCTCTATGAATGAAAAATATCTTATACCTGCTTTATGATACATAGTAGGAACCGTGCTTTATCAGAGCTACATTTAATGACATTACTCTAGAATGTTGTCTTTCCAGATGATGATTAAGATGCTAATAAAAAAAATGGTGCCAGGTACCACAACAGCAACAGAACTTTGATGTTTTCTGGATATTATTCTTTTCTTTGTTTCTTTTTGTTTTGTTTTGTTTAATGGGATGTGCTGAATGTCTATGATTTTGTTCAGATGACTGCAGAACCTGGAAAAGCTGTTGCTGCTATCGATGCATAACATACTGCTATT